GTTCTGAGGAACATGTGGGGCTATGTCCTGTTCAGCACACGCAGGTCTGGGCAAGCTGGTCAAATTCTGGGTCCCCCTGTGGAAAGTGCGCAGTGCACACCCTCACTGCTGAGTGAGTGTCCATGGTCCAGGGGTCCTTCCAGGCCATCCCAGGTCTGAGAGCATCGGGGCTGGGGGGCATCGGGCCAGGGCCTAACCCAGCCCAGTGGTGCTCCCCAGGGCTGCTTTGTTCCATTGCCGTGGCAGTCACCTCTGGGCCTCCCTCTGCTCCTGGAGAGAGAACTTTGAATAGACGCCTCCTCCTGATCGGCAAGGTGGGCTGAAGAGCCATGTGGGTCATGGAGCCCACCCTGGGGTTGGTCATGTGGCTGAGGGTTCCCTGGGTGGCAGCAGTCTGGTCTGCTGGTGAACTGGCACCCTTGGACTCGGGTCATGGGCAGCTAGGAATGGCCACTGAAGGGAGCAAGGATACCAGGACCTCTCCCTTACCGGGTGCAGCCTGGACTGGCTGGGTGGGGCTGAAGCTCCGCCCCTTCCTGCTGTCAGCAAGGCTGGGGCGCATCTTGAGGGAGGAGGGCGGGCAAGTGGTCCCTGCCCTGGGAAGCAGGAACAGCACCCCCCGCCCGGTGGGCTCCGCTTCCTGCGGATGAAGCTGTGTAGGGGGTGGGGCACCGGCTTCCTAGAGGAGGAAACGGGGTGCTAGAGGGCCGGCTGCCCAGGGTGGGGGCGGGCAGGTGGCTGAGGGTGCCGTGAGCGCCACCCACCCTCCACCTGTAGCATGCTTGCCCCTGGACGGCCCTGCGGCCCCTCCCCTCGCTCCCGCAGCCCTTGCACCCTGGGGACCCAGCGCAGCGCGGGAGGGGCCCTCCGGAGCTCCGCCCTCAGGGGCCTGGGGCCTGCGGCTCGCCCCGCCCGGGACCCCTAGTCCCCAGCCCCCACTGGGCGCTCGGGCTCCGCGGCGCTCCAGCCTGCCCCACCCCCGCCTGCCTCCGCCTTTGACGCGCGGGGGAGGGCAGAGGGCGGCGGGATAAAGCCGGCCGCGGTGCAAAGGGAGCTCGGAGCGCCCAGTGCTGGTGAGTGTGTGCGCGCCCCTGCCCGACGGGCCTGGGAGGGGGAGGCTTTGAGGGAGGGGTCCAGGCCTACTCCCCAGCCCGCGTGGGTGTGCCCCCCAGGGTAGGTGGGCCGAGGGCGCCGCCCTGCTGGTGGAGCCCGGGCTGGGCACTGTGGGGCCCTACACTCTGCAGGCCTGGTCCTGTGCGTGGACACTCCCTGCAGCGACCTGTCCCTGCTGGGACTGGAGCCTTGGGGTCTGGCCAGAGGATGGGGTCCAGCCTGACTCTCCTGGCCCCCTCAGTCTCCTTGTGCAGCTGAGGGAGTATGACCAGTGTGTTGCACACAGGTGTTGCCACACCTTGCACTGTGAAGGTCTTCGCAGGGCAGCTGGCGAAAACTCGGGGTGTCCCCGGTTCCCCTGCCCACACAAGTGTGGAGGCAGCCAGTCCCATGTGGCTATGTGGTTGGCATCGGTTGGGATTGCTATGAGACAAATGTTGGCCTCGCCCTCTGCACCTTGCCTCTGGCCTTGCACCCCCTAGCAGCAGCCAGTTCTCTGTGGGTTCAATTGGCTGGGTGGGCGAACTACCCCCAATACATGGGAGCCTTTGGGGTCCGCTTGGCTCCATCGTCTTAGGGTCCTGCCCACACCCAGGGGCCGGTGGCAGCGTGAGCACTGTTTATCGCCGTCACATGGCAGCTGGGCTCTTGCCGTTGGTTTGTGTTTTAATAGCTCCCTGTGGGGCTCCGTGGAGTGCTGGCAGCAGAGTCCCCAGAGCTGAGGCGGGGCGGGGAGGGCCTGGCTGTGTCCCCTGGGGCTGGGAGCTGGGGCCTCTTGTATCCATGCTGTGTGGGTGCTAACCCTTCCCCGGGCTAGATTCTGTGTGTGATTGCCTGGGGAGAGTCGGTCGGAGAAGGGCCGTCAGGGCTCAGCACCAGGCTGCTGGGGTCAGGCGGTCTGGCCCTGGTCCGGCCCTGGTCCGGCTCCCGCCCACCTTGAGCCCTCAGTGAAGTGGGGCTTGTGAGGGTTTGGTCTCTGGTTGGGGGCTCCACAGAGGCTGTTCCCCACTTTGGGGACCCTGCCACTTTTAGGGGGTGTTCTCTCCCCAAAGGTGGCTAAAGGAAATCAAGACCAACCCCCACGTCTTCCGTCTTTGCTACAACCCATGCCCATGTGGCCGAGTGCTGCCACCCCTTCCTACCCCATGCCCTGCCTGGAGACCTGGGCACTGGGCCCCCAGCGGGCTCCTGGAGGAAAAGGGGTCAGTGAGAAGTGAGTGGAGAACACGGCGCCTTGGGAGCCAACTCCATAATTCCACCTGCTGTGCACCTGGCACCAGACGGTGCTGAACGGGTACTTGGCAGCTTGGGTGAATGAGAGAGCAAGGGAATGAAAAATGCCCGATCCTGCTGCCCGCCTTGCGTGGGGTGAGGTGAGTTCCAAGCTACGGGCAGGGGGCCTGGGACAGCTACAGGTGCCAGGCCACTGTGTACCATGCGATGCCTGCCCAGCCATAAGCACCTGGCAGGAAGGGCATGTGGGGGCAGCCAGGGAGACGTGTAGGACTTGTGCCTCTGTGCCCCACCTGCTGGTGCTCACTGGCCCTTTGTTTCCTTGGCATCCCCAAGAGGCAGGGCTTGTCCTGCCCCTCACAGGCAAGCAACAGGCTCAGAGTGGGGAGACAGACACCCTGGCTGTTCTGGTACATCAGGGCCTGGAGCGGCTGCAGCTTCAGGAGCCTGAGGGTGTCTGGCCGGCCTTGCCCAACCACCTGCCCCAGCACTCTGTCCAACTGGGGGTCAGCTTGGGTGGACCTGCAGCCTTGGCATGTTCCTGTCCTGGTAGGGGCCTGGGTTTGGGGGGACTGCCTGGTGGCACGTGTGGGTGTTCTTGGTAGAGGGGGGCAGGCAGCCTGGGTTGCTAGGCAGCAGGGTAGCCTGGATGTAGCCCTGAGCTCCCTGGGGTGGCAGGGGGACAGGGGTCTGCCTCCCGGCCACAGTGCAGGTGACCTGCTTGGGGCTGACCCAGCCCTGGAAGGTGACCCTCTGGGCCATGTCTCCATCTTAAGGGAGGTGACTGGCCCCAGTTGGCGCCAGTGCTGGCTTGGAGTCACTTAGGGAGTGGGACTGGGGCCTTAGGGTCATGCACGCTTTGCCCTCTGGTCACGTCCGGGAAGCCTTCCATGACCTGTCCTCCTGCTGGTCCTAGGTCCAGGACCTGGGTGTGGTATTGGAGGGGGCTGGGGCGGCTGAGAGGCAGGGAGGGGCCCACAACTCCAGGAGCCGCCTGGGCTGGGCACTGGGCTGATGGTGGCTTTGGAGGACCTTCAGACCTCTGGTACTGAGAGCCTGTGAGGGCTTGTGGGTGTCTTCCCAGAACTCCTGGGTCGCTGACTGTCCACAAATAAGCGCGGAGCCCTCTCGGTGCCAGGGCCTCCCGCCGCAGCCAGGCATGCTACTCTTGTGGGCACGCAGCTGGGGAGATGGGTCAGCTGGGGGCAGCAGTGTGTTAGGGGACAAGGGAGCCGAGCTGCCTGCAGGGAGCTGAGGGCTGGGATGGGCCTGCTGGTGTCCCCACTCCCGGCCCCCTAGCCATGGGCATTTTTGGGTTGGCCCTGGCAGAGATTCCAGGAAAGGCTCCTGCCCTGATATAAATAGACTTCTCCGAAAGGCCTGGGGCTGTGCCAGTCCCAGCAGGTGCCCCCTCCCAGGCCTAGGCAGAGGCCCCTAGCAGGAGGGGGCAGTGCAGAGGGCTGGATGGCACAGCCACAGGTGGGTCCCGTGGCCTGGTGTGGGGTTGCAGAGCTGTGGGAAGGACTGCCTTTGCTGAAGGACTGCCTGGAGCAGAGGCACCGCGCTGGGGCAAGCCGATCCCGGGGCTTGCAAAGCTGAGCGACCTCCAGCTGGCTTGGTGACTATGAGGCCCTCTGAGCCACTGGGGTCCTATCCATGCAGTGGGGTGATGTTGGTGCCTTGTGGCAGGGGTGCAGGCGACAGCCAGAGCTGCTTGGGCCTCCAGAGTGAAAGGGGTGACATGTGAGTACCAGGAGGGGTCCCTGCCAGGGACTATGGGTGTTGGGGGGCCCCTGAATGCATGGGCAGGCCTGCCTGGTTCTGGAGGGGATGTGGGACTCCAGTGGCCTCTGCTGCAGCCTGCACATGCCTCTGTCCGTGTCCAGCCAGTGGCCAGCTCTGGCTCCCTAGGGTTGTGTTGGGGTAAGGTGGGGGCGGGAGAGCCTGAGGGGAGGGGCTCCCTGCTCTGGACTGGGCCCCTGGCCAGCCCTCCTCTGCCCCCTGGCCCCGGTGCTAACTGCTGATTGCAGGGCCCAGGCTGTCTGGGAGTTGGACTGAGAGTCGGATTCCCAGCCAGAGGCCAGGTCCCCGGGGAGCCTGTGTGCCTCACAGTGTGCACGCTGTCTCCCAGGCTGAGGGCTGAGGGCCTTGGGAAGACTTCTCTCGGGAAACTGGAAGTACCTGCGCCCTCATGCAGGGGCTGCTGACGGACAGGTGGGGTCCCTGGCCCCACTGCTGAGTCACTAGCAGTGCCTCAGTCTCCTCTCCCGAATACTGGGGGTGGGCAGCTGTCCTCAGAGGGGCTAGCAAGCACGGGGGGGGGGGCACCGGCAGCACCTCGTGGCAGAGCCCCTGCAGTTGGGCCTCGTGCTGCAGCCCCAGGGGCGGTGCACAGGAGCCGGCCCGCAGCACCGGGCGGAGGAAGGGCCGCGGCTTCCCCTTCCTGCGCCCGGCCCGGCTGCTTCCTTTTCCTCCGAGGCGGGACCCTCCGGTGGCGGGCTCCTTTGTGTGCGAGCCTCCGGGCAGCGGCCCGCAGCTATATTTAGGCAGCAGGTGTGGGAGCCCCCCGTGGCCGGCCCAGCGCCCGCCGGTCACTGCCCCACGTGACGCCCGGGCGCTATTAATAGCCGGGCCCGCCCGGGCACCGCCTGCGAGGCCCGCGCGCCAGGCCCTGGAGCACATGGAGGCGGCGGCAGCAGCAGCGGCAGACGTGAGGGCACGGGTGAGCGGGGTGGCCGGGCACCGAGAGCGGGAGGGCCCTGGGACCCCAGCCCCAGGTGGCAGCACCCTGGGAGGGTCGAGCAGGGAAGCCGTGCTGCCCATGACCCCAGCCGAGACTGCCCTCTAAGCTCCTTCTGCCAGCTGTGACCCCCCCTACGTTGTGCAGTGGGGTGCTCCAGGACCCCCTGGGTCCCCGGGCACTGGCAATGCACGGAGGGGCCAGGCTGTTGCATGCGGGTCTATAGGGAGTGAGGGGCTGCAGGCCCCAAGAGGCCCTTGTGGAATGGGAACGGACAGCAGGCTGAGCAGTTGATCAACGGCCCTCCCCTCCATTTCACAGCCCTGGAGCTTGAGGTTTGGGTGTGCTCGGACTCGGAGCTGACCAGGCGGGCATGGCTGTTGGTAGTGTGGCCACAGGCCTTGGTCAGTCCTGCCTGGGAGCAGGGCAGGGCTCTGAGGGGCACCATGCTTGTGGCCCCGTGTGCTTGGCTCTCTGGGCTGTGTGGGGACCCTGGGCAAGGCTGAGCTGTAGAGGACCATGGTGGGGTCCAGGCTGCGGAGACAACCCCAGCTCGGCCGCTGCAGCTGCCATGCCTCACCCTGAGCCCCTTCCAGCCTGAGCTCCGAGCCCAGCCAGGTCTAGCTCCTGATCGCTGTGGGCACGTGAGCACATCAGGCCTCAGGTGGGCTGTAGTGTGAGGTGGCCGAGGACCCGCCTCCTTCCTCGGGACCCTCACCCGGCTGGGGGTGACCGGCGCGTTCCCCGGGTAGGTCTCTGTGTGCCCAGGGTTGCCCTGGCTGTCCCCCTCTCACGCACGTTCACATGCACACAGTGTATATACGTATACATACTGTGCACCCACACGCACAGGCGTTCAGGAAGGGTGAGCAGGGCTGCACCTGGGACAGGATTCCTTCTCTACCTGGTGCTGCTGGCCAAGACCACGGCCACGGCTGGTCCAGCGTGGACTGAGACATCTCACTGTGAGGCCGTGCGGTGTGCAGGCAGCTGCAGGCTGGCAACAGTGGACCCCCACTTCCCGCCTCCCCTGTCCAAGGGCCTTGGTGTACTCAAGCTGAGGCTGCTGGCCCAGCCTGCCTAGGGGCATGGGACACGGGATCCTGGGTGGGGAGAGGGGTAAGAAGAGGTGGCAGTTGGGGGCATGGAAGACTGCCAGGGTGGGTCCAGAGGCACCCTTGACCCCGGCTGAGGGAGGTAGGGACTGTGGGCAGGTAAGACCGGGCAGGCCCCAGCTGGAGTACCCTGTGGGAACCCAGGGAGAATGTGCAAGTCTGCTGGGACTTGGGTGGGCCAGTGGGGGCGGGAGGGCATTCCTGCCGCCATCCCAGAGGGACGGAAGCAGGTACGGAGGTGACGGACTGCCCTGCCATCCCCACACATGCTGGCGACTGGCCGTTGGCCCTCGTGGTCTGCTTGGCTCGGGAACATCCCGCAGGGCACGCAGACCTATGTGTTTCTTGTCCTCACCAACCTTGGGAGACAGCTCAGGTGGCTGGGCTGGTGGCGGGTACGGGCTGGTGGAGGGGACGGGCTGGTGGCGGGTACGGGCTGGTGGAGGGGACGGGCTGGTGGCGGGTACGGGCTGGTGGAGGGGACGGGCTGGTGGCGGGTACGGGCTGGTGGAGGGGCTGGGCTGGTGGCGGGTACGGGCTGGTTGAGGGGCTGGGCTGGTGGCGGGTACGGGCTGGTGGCGGGTACGGGCTGGTGGAGGGGACGGGCTGGTGGAGGGGCTGGGCCGGTGGAGGGGCTGGGCTGGTGGAGGGGCTGGGCTGGTGGAGGGGACGGGCCGGTGGAGGGGACGGAGGCCTACGAGGAGACCATGGGGGCAGCCCTGTGGGAGGGGATCGGAGTGGCTCCTGGCGCGTCCCAAGGCTCAGACACACCGCGGGGTCCCCACAGTGGCAAAGAATACAAAAGGCAGGTCGGCCTACTGAAGGCTTACTGGGGTTCTGGGGTTTGGCTCCTCCTGGGGTGTGCATGGACCCTGCCCATCCTGCTCAGGGTCCCTCACTCCCCTCGCCCTTGCTTTCCCAGACGCTGCCTGTTGCCGACTGCTGTGGGGTCCGTGGAGAGCCTGCCGGGGGGCAGCCCTGAACACTGCCGTGCCCAACATTGCCGCTGCACCTGCCGTGCCTCTGCCCGTCACCATCGGCCCGGCCCATCTATGGTCCTCGCTGCCCGGCCTGGGGCCGGTCCTGACGCCTGAGCCCTCTGCTCTGCTCCGGGACTCGCTGTACCCTGATGGGGTAACGTGAACAGGGATCCTGTGCCCCCAGCGCCGTCTGAGACCCCAGCTGGCCCGGCCCCTGGGGCTGCAGGAATACACTCAGTTCCTCTCTCCTTTGGACCTGGGGCTTGGAGCCACCTTCTGAGCGAAAGGCGACCCTCTGTGCACAGATGCGGAGTCAGGGGGCATCCCCAGTGGGGGCCGCAGCCCTGACCGGTGTCCCAGTGGCCGGACCCACTTGGGGTTTTTGAAGTTGCCTGTTGCTGAGTGGACTTGTTGGCGCCATCGTCGTGGTGGTCAGACTCTGAGTGGCAGGCGTGTGGCGCTGTCTGCTGTACTCTGGGGTTCTTCTGTCCATTATTTTTTTACAATCATTGAAGCTGGGGGCTGATCCCGTGCCCTCACAAGCATTTGCACAATATTTGTGCCCAAGGTGGAGTCGGGGACAAGCGCCGGGACCTCTTCAGTTTCGGGGGGCTTCTCTGGTCCGTGTCGCCAGCCCTGTTCTGGCCATGGCTCGGATGAACCGCCCCGCCCCCGTGGAGGTCAGCTATAAGAACATGCGTTTCCTTATCACCCACAACCCCACCAATGCCACCCTCAGCACCTTCATCGAGGTGAGTGGGGCAGAGGGAGGGCAGGGTGCCCTGCATGCCCGCCTGCAGCATGGGATGAGTCATGGTCGACACTGACTCCTCCTCAAGGGGCATAACCCTGTTGCCTTGGGGGAACCCTCAGGCTCTCTGGGGGTCAGGCCGAGGGCTGCTGAACTCCTGGCGTGTGCTGGTGGGCTACTGCAGAGGTGGCCAGGGGTCCTGTGCCCTGCGCTGACCCTTGACCTCTGAGCAGAGGCAAAGTGGGGAGGGGTAGTCCCAGGTTGAGAAATGCACCAGCCCAGGCGGGTGCCAGGCAGGTGTCACTGTAGGCAGGAGTGACTGTGAGCCTGTGCACTGAGGGTGGGGCCTGCAGGTGGATCCAGCCCTGGAGCCCCAGCCCTCTGTGTGGGGTCAGACTGGGCAGGATGGTCGTTGGTCCTGGAGGGCGAGCTCCCATCCTGTGTGCATGCAGAGCCCAGAGCTGGCTGTGTGGTCTCCTGCAGACTCAGGGCTGTGGATGGAGCTGGCTGCAGTGGCAGAGCATGGGCACTTCTCTCCCATGAGGTGGGTGCTGGGGGAGGATGGAGCCCCTCACATTTAAACAGTGTAGAGCTGGTGAGGGCAGAGCAGGCGGCCTGGGATCCAGGACCCACAGCAAGCAAGGACCCTCATGGCTGTGCTGCTTCACAGTCAAGACCGTGAAGGTAACTCTAGACTCTAGGTCAACATGGTGGGTGCCCAGCTTGTGGTCAGGCTCAAGGCTCAGCGTGTGGTCAGGGTCAGAGTGTGAGCAGGCCCAGGTCAAGTGTGAACAGGGTCGGGGCTCCGTTCCCACCAGGATGGCGGCTCCCCTGCTGAGAACACAGAGGGACTCCCCATGTTCTCAGAATAGCTTGGCCCCGGCCTCGCTCTGTCGGCTGTCCCTTGTGTGTCCAGCAAGGCCCAGTGGCCAGTGGTACACAACTCCCAGAATAGCTGCTGGCAGCAGGTGGGGGCCCGACCTCGCTCTGCTGGGCTGGTGCCTGCCCTTCCTGGCCACCATACAGTCATGGCCACCTGCCCTGCTTCCAGCTACCCTACTGCGTACCGAGGGCCCCCTGCGGCCCCCCAGCACTGTCTCCAGTAGCTGTGTCTGGAGTCTCGGCTTTGGCTGAGTCCCAGGGACTGGACTTGGGTGGTGGGGTCTCAGGGGACAGTTGGTTCCAGGGCACACGGCGGAGGGACCGAGGCCCACACAGCTGAGAGCTGGTGCCCAGCTGCTTGCACTGTGTTGAGCCCCTGTGTTGAGGGAGTTGGAAAGACTGTAACCCTTGTAGGGGGAAATGGGGGGCTGGAGGACCTTGGGGTCCCCAGTTCTTTCCAAGCTGGGACAGGACTCATGCAGAGGTATTGCAAGTCCCTGGGACTGGGGTCTGAGCTGTCTTCTACTCCGCAGGACCTGAAGAAGTACGGGGCCACCACTGTGGTGCGCGTGTGTGAAGTGACCTATGACAAGGCCCCGCTGGAAAAAGATGGCATCACTGTGGTGGTAAGGGTGGAGGCCAGAGAGTCGGGGTGCCCAGATCCGGGGAGTCACCCCCCGCACCTCTTGCGCACCCCCCGCACCCTGTGGGCAGGGCCACCCTGGCGTCAGCCTCAGCCGGGCAGCTTCCAGGATGAGCGTGCCCAGGATACAGCCCCGTGCTGCTGTGCAAGTGGGAGCCGTTCATGTTTCTGACACAGCGCCAGGCGGAGACCAGGCCCAGTGGGGTACCTGCCCTGTGTGTTGCCAGGCTCCCAGGCGCCTGGGTCCATCCTGGGTCCTTCTCCCAGCCTCTTGCGGTCTGCCGTCGCCAGGTGGCAGGTCCCTGGGAGGAGCCCTTGGACTGTTTCCCCAGAGGAACCTCCAGGACAGGTGGGGGTGGAGCCAGCAATTCTGCTTTGTCCTAATGCATGTGGGTGGAGCTGGGATGTCCCTCAGCTCCAATTCCTGGGACCTGATGGCTGCACAGGAACCCGCTTTCTGATGGGCCCGTTGACAAACCCTGTCCGGCCATTTGGACAGGGTTGGGGGAGGAAGAGCCTGTCTGCTGGGGTGAGACTGGTCTCTGGTGGGAGCAACGAGACGAGCAGCAGCCTCCTGCACCAGGTGGCCCCCGTGGACTCCAAGGCACAGGAGCCCAAAGCCCTTTCTCCTTCCTGCCTGGACCCGGGCTGTGGCCATGGCGGGTGCTGCAGGCTTGTGTGTCACCATGGACATGGGCTCATGGGGCATGCAGGTGGGCAGGGGCATGACCTCTGCACCATGGGCCAGGATGCTGGGCTCTCCTGAGAAAGTGCTAGATGGGCCCAGGAAGGCTGCCTGGAGAAGGGGCTGCTGAGGTCAGCAGATGACCGTTTGCTTGCAGTGGGTGAGCCTGCCCTTCCCCGTGGCCTCTGGGGCCTGCTGGTCCCCTGACTTGACCCAGCCCCTTGCCCAGGACCTCGGGGCTAGGGTCTTCACAGGGCTTCCAACACCCCTCTCCCCTCCCCCGCCCCCCCCCCCCCCCCCCGCTGAAGGACTGGCCATTTGACGATGGGGCGCCCCCGCCTGGCAAGGTGGTGGAGGACTGGCTGAGCCTGCTGAAGGCCAAGTTCTGCGATGACCCGGGCAGCTGCGTGGCTGTACACTGTGTGGCTGGCCTGGGACGGTAAGTGACCACACTGCTGGCACTTGGCCGGGGCTTGGGGCCTGGGGTTGGCCTGCTCGCCTGTTCCACTGCGTGTCACTCCTCTGAGGACAAACCCCTTCCTCACAGCCCTGCAGGGAGGAAGTCTGTCCCTCCTTGTGTCTGATTCAAGTCCATTCTGATGGACTCAGAGCTCCCTGCATCTGTGTCACTTCACTCCTGCCCACGTAGCCATCCCCCTGGGACCCAGGGCCACACCAGCTGGGTGCTGAGCCCAGAGGTCACCCAGCAGAGGGCCTGACGGGAGGATGGGAGTGCCGAGGCCCAGAAACCCCAGCCCTGTGTCTGTCACCCCCCCCCCCCCAATCCTCCCAGGGCCCCGGTGCTGGTGGCGCTGGCCCTCCTGGAGAGCGGGATGAAGTATGAAGACGCCATCCACTTTATCCGACAGTAAGTGCCGTAGGCAGCCAGCGGGCAGGACGGCGTGGGAGGGGCAGCTGCTGGCTGGCTCACCTCTCCTCTGTCCCACTCCCCTGCCCAGGAAGCGCCGTGGAGCCATCAACAGCAAACAGCTCACCTACCTGGAGAAGTACCGGCCCAAGCAGAGGCTGCGCTTCAAGGACCCACACGCGCACAAGGCCAAGTGCTGCGTGATGTAGCACAGGCCCCAGCGCCTCCCTCCCGCCTTCTCTTTGGCAGGCAGGCAGGCGCGGCAGAGCCAAGGAGTCCCGCGGCCCGCCTGAGCCTGTGCCCGGCCCGGCCATCTCACCAGTGCCTGCTGTCCAGCCTGGCTGTTGCGGGGAACGGCTTCCTAACCACTAGGCCCAGCTCCCCCTCCACAGCCTCGGGTCCTTCCCCATCCTCAGCACCTTAAATTATTGGCTCCTGGCAGCCAGCTGCTGCTGATGTCCCTAGAAGGCAATAAAATGGAAACCGTGGCCATGAGTGCAGAGAGCAGGGCTGGGGGGCCTCTGGGGCTGGGGATCCAGGAGGCCGTTGCCTGGGGGTAGATCCTGCAACTGGGGTGTCTGGACAGGACTACCTGGCTTGGTTGTTGGAATTGCCATTCCCATGTGCAGGACAGGGTGGGGGTCTTCTGGCACTTATGGGGTCTGGGGGAGCAGGGCAGGGAATGCCCAGTGGCCTTCGAGGGACCCGTCCTCCGTGGGCAGGAAAGCAGGTCTGTCTCAGGCTCTGGTGCTCACGCTGGGTGTCCTCTGCCCCCCACCATCTCCCCCACTGAACACTTGCCCTCGGATGTGCCTCTTAGTCCCTGCTGGGCCTTGGCTGACCCCATCTGCACCTGCTGGCTTGGCCCTTGCCTCCCCAGGAGCCCGAGAGGCCCACCTAGCTCTTCTCCATGCCAATCCCAGTTCCCACCAGAGGCGCTGCCCCCAAGACACAGGCACCCACCGCCTGGGCCTTGGGGTGTTGCCACTGAAGCCACGGGGAGCACCTGTGTGTCGGGCTTTGGACCTCCCCTCTCCCAGGCAGCTCCCTGCTCGTTGGAATCAGGGCCTCTCTGTTTCCAGGTGAGCCCCAAAGCTACCCAGGAACTCAGGGAGCTCACACTCCCCTGGTCTGGGCTGCCCAGATGGAAGCTGGGAGGCCATGCCGCGCCCCTGGTCCCCTGCTGGAGGCTGGAGTGAGTCAGGTGGGCAGCTCCTCTTGGTGGTGGCTACAGGCCCTGGCTGCCGGCCCTCAGCTAGACGTGTCCCTGTGTTGCTGAACATGGCTGTACTTTCTCAACCCATGGTTCTGTTGTGCCAGCCTGGGCAGGTGTATTCCTGGCCCCAGAGGCTCTCAGTCTGGTGGAGACAGGCTGGGAATGTGCGTCGTGGAGGGCACATTGAGTGGGGAGGGGCCCAGGTGCAGTAGGGCAGGTGTGCTGGCTGGTCCAAGCTGCTTCTGTGGGCAGCCTGGGGTGAGGCCCCAGGAGGGCTGTGGCTGGGAAGTACCTTCCATGCACTCTGGGCCCAATTTAGAGTGGAGTCTTTGCTTGCTATGCACAGGCTAGAATTCTGGAGTTGGGGAGGGGCAGGACCCCAGGGCTCTCCATGCACCCCCTTTGCTGATGGACATCCTGGGCCACCCGCGACCTCGAGGTCAGGGTGACGGTGTATCAGGCTGGGCCAGCCCTGCCTGCCAGGAGGAGGGTGGTGAGATGAGGAGGGGACCTCAGGGACCCCACGAGCTACAAACAGAACCAGAGGGTGGCCACCGTGGGCTCCTTTCCCATATCCAGGCCGCCACAGGCCGGACCCCTACTCCAGGAATGGAGGGACTGGGTTTGGTCTGGGAGGAGAGAGGCCTGTGGGGTTTGGGCAGGGAGCTGACAGGTGTGACGCTTCTTTGTGAATCTAGATTTTTCTTTCAAATGGAAAAAAGTCTGTGCCACCAGGGGCGGGTGGGGCTGGGGGCGGAGCTGCAGTCAGGGCTGGGCTCGCGCCCACACCTTGGGGAGGAAGGAGAGCTGTCTGCTGGCGAACTCACGGGTGCCCGGCTCCGGGTCTTTCTTGAGGTCTTCAAAAGCTCCAGGGGAGAAGACACGAGTTAGCGGCGACCCCAGGGTCCCTTCTGGCCGGGGGGCAGTGCCTGCATGCTCTGGGGCTTCAGAGGCCCCCTTCACCCACACGGGGGTCCCTTAGGTTGTTAGGATGCAGGGGCGGAGGTAGGGGCTGGGCTCCAGAGGTCACATCCTGTGCTGACCCTGACCCTGTGGGTGGGGGTGGGGAGGGGGCTCTGCTTACTTACTGCGAAGCAGCAGGTTGAGGTCCACGTGGCTCACCAAGTGGGACACGGCCTGGGGGTGGTAGCAGACGGTGTAGCCTGCGTGAGAAGAGTAGGGGCAGAGGCCGTGGGTGGGGCTGGCCAGGCCTGCTCCTGTCTCCCTTGCCCGGGTGGCCCCGCCAGCCCTTCGTGTACCTATGAAGAGGGCGGCCCAGGTCTTCATGTGGCGGTGGCAGCTGTGCAGGTAGCCGAGGGCCTGCGTCAGGTGGATCCTGAACTCCTCCTGGCTGCCGCTCATCTGGTGAGGGGGGAGGCCCGCGGTCATCACTGCCACCGTGCCCGGGGAGAGCCTGCCCTTGCCCCCAGGTCCTCACCAAGCAGGTCCAGAGGAAGTGGCGGGCACTGAGGCCCCTCTCCCAGGCCAGCGTGCAGAAGAGGGTGTGCTGTAACCGCCAGTGGAGCAGCACGGCGCAGCGGTAGAAGGTGAACTTGGCCTGCTGTGGTGCAGTTAGGGGAGGGGTCACCGCCAGCCCTGTGCGTCTGAGCCCAAGTCCTCGGCCCAGGGATCAGAAAGATTCTGGTGGGGGGGGGTCCATAGTCTCTCCCCCCCCCCCCCCCGCTCCTCGGGGAAGCCACCCCAGTCCCTGCTGGATTGGGACTGGCTGTGTGACGCCCCCGTGGCAGGGAGCCACTGTGACCGCTGTGCCTGGGCACTTGTTGCTCGGCAGGTGTCCCTGCCACGTGTCAGGCACCAGGGTCCTGACTGCATGGACAGCGTGGACGTGCTGGGGCGTGAGGTGGTGTGCAGGTGTGGGTACAGACTTGGGCTCAGGTGTTTGCCAGTGTGGGCAAAGCAGTGCATGCCTGTGGGGATGGGACAGGCCCACTAAGGTCAGGGCAGCCACTCTCAGTGGCTGGAGCCTCTGCCTGTCCCAGGGAGGGCCCCTTGCTGTAGGCGCCCTGGCTAAGGTGGGCACTGACCTTCGTGACGGCTGGGCACTGGTCCTTCAGGTGCAAGAGCAGGGGCACCATACTCTGGTGCACCTGGTTGCGCAGGTCGCTGGTCTCCCTGCCTGTTATCATTGCCACCAGGTCCCCAAATAGTGCCATGGCCGCTGCCCGAATCGTGTCCCGCTCCTGTAGGGGGGAGCAGCAGCCAGGCACGCCTGCCCTGAGAACCCCGCCCGCCGGCCGCTTGCCGCGGCTGGGGACTCCTAGTGTCCCTTTCCGACACCCCAGGGCGTCAGGAATACAGTTGGGGGCGGGCTCGGCCTGCTTGGTCCCCAGGGAAGGGGGAACATCTGCCTGTGAGAGGGGGACTCCACCTGCTGCTGTGCGGCCACTTGGCGGCCGACCCAACCCACCTGCGCTGGGGACGCGCACCCTGGCCTTCCACCCCCGGGGGTCTCGCCCGCGTGCTCACGTCGTCGAAGAAAGAGCGGGCTTTGACAGCGACGCGGAGGCTCTGGGCGCCGGCGCCTTGCGGGCCCAGGCGGTGCAGCACTTCCGACACGGTGTCCATGAGGCGCACCACCACCGGCTCGCTGTTCTGGAAGAATCCGTTCAGGAAGGGCGGCAGCTGCCCGCGGAGCAGGGCTCCCTGGGGGCGGCGGGCAGGGTGGGTGGAAGGTGCCGGCACCATATTCCCTGCCCCATCACTGCACCCTGCATCCCTGCCCACTGCAAGCCGCGCCTCACCCTGCCACCTGGGGGCTGGTGCGGCTGCGGGACAAGCAGGAGGCAGACAGTTCCTGGGAGCCACCTGCACCCCAACCCTAGTATGGCATACCCTCCGACCCAGCCTCACCCTGGGACAGACAGGCTAGGGGCTGCAGCTGACAACAAGTGACAGGATTGGGACATACTGAAGTCACGCCCTGCCAGTGGGTGAGGTGGCCACCTCCTCCCCAGCACGCTTTTCTATGGCCTCACTTCCGGAGCTAGTCCTTGCCGCATGCACCTGCAGTCCCTAGGAACTGCCTGGGGGCCACACGAGTGAGCAGCTGTGTGCTTGTGTGCTGGCATCCGGCCCCTTCTGAGGGCCCTGGACAATAGCCAGGGTGGTGCAGAGGGCCCCTGCCGCCTTCCTAAGCTCTCACTGGCTCCCTTTGAGCAACTGAGTTGCCCAATGGCCACACATGCCTTCCAGTGTGCTGGCCCTGCCCGACTCCTCAGGGGAACCCAGAGGGGAGCCGGGAACAGGAGTCCCTATCCGATTAGGTGTCTGGGAGAAGAGCGGGAGAAGGGGGCATGGACGGCTGGCCACGGAAGTGGCCATGACGGAGTAGATGTCTGGATCACTGGATGAGTGAATAAATACAAGGAGCAGGTGGTGGGAGGGTGGAGGGGTGAGGGGCTGGCACGAGCTGGGGCCCCACCCACGTAGTGCCCTCACCTTCTCCGGGTGGAAGAGGATGTTGCTGAGGCCCTGCAGGCTGGACACGCGCACATCTGGGCTGGAGTCTCTGAGGCCGTGTGCCAGCACGCTCAGGGCGGCCTGCCAGGGCAGCACCTCCGGCAGCAGGGGGCTATAGAGGAACTGGGGCACCCCCGGGGGGTGGGCCGCTCAGGCCTGGCACCCTGGGGTGGGGGCGGGAGACCAGCACCCCTTGGCTGTCTTGGGTTGGGAGCACTTGGGGCTCAATGGGTCCAATGCTCCCTGTGTAGTGCGGGAAGCCCAGGCCCAGCAAGGGGCGACAGCCTGGTTCCTGGGATGCCGGGGCGTCATAGCCTTACGGAAGGTGTTGGTAGGGTGGGCTGGCCCAGCGCTTTCACCCTTCCCAACCCCAGGGTGCAGCCCAGCAGCCCGGTTGCCCCTGGGATGCCTCCTCCTTCACCCAGCCTTTTGCCTCTGCACGGGTTGGGTGTGCCTAGAGGGAGAATTAGGGAGACAGTTCCCACGGGGGGCTGCGCTGGTGCAGGGGCGGAAGTGCACCCCTACCTCAGTGAGGATGAGGATGGCCGCTTTCCTCTCCCGCTCCTCTTGGCTTTGCAGGCTGGGCAGCAGCTGGCTCAGCACCGCCTGGAGCTGCTGGCACTGATTCTCTACCATGGCCCTGGGGAGGGGCACCCTCTGTCACCCTCTCTGTCCCATCCCTTTGGGGACCAGCCGAGGCTGGGCATGCATCCCTCTGTGTACCCTGCTCCCTGCATGCTCTCAGGGTGCCTGTGGCTGGGTGTGGGGGGTCATGTCCACACCCAGGCAACT